TGGGATTAGTCGGTTTGCATAGCGGGTTGGATATCCAGGTTAATAAAAAAAAACTTAGTCACACATGGCTAAGTTGAGATTACAACTAAAAACGGGAAGAAAATTACCAAAAGTGAAAAGAAATTGATGAAAAATGCTTTCAATTGATCTTTTGCTCTCTCCAGTTCGTTCCTAGAAGTCGATCCCCTTAGAATGGTCGTTTTTCACCCATAAAAACTCTTAAAAACCGATTTCCCCACTAATTAATACGTCCTTTGAGACGTATGCTTCTGAAATTCTCTATTTGAAAACTATGCCTGGGTTCTTCCTCTTTTGAATAAATATGTCCAGTCATCATTTGTAAACATATGCCTACTCCTTTAAAATTTGAGTAACTATACTCCATCTTGCATTCATTTAAATGAATATGCTCAGCAGTGAGTTGGGCGACTTTTTGCGCGGTTTAAATCGCCCAAAAGGTTGCGGGCGCCTTTTTTGGGCCAATTTCTTCAATTTTAAGCCCCTTTCACTCCTACTCAAAAGTAAACATAATAAGGTGCTCAAACAAAAATATTTTAGGGATAAAATGACATAAAAATGAGGATTTTAGGCCTATTAACATATATTAAAACTTGAAATTTTGTAGCTATCATCGTGCTTACTAGACTGCTTTGTCATCAATAGCCTTGCCAAGACATACTAGAGAAAGGGTACATTATGGAACTTGATTATGGGTTGTTCATCGTTTCTTTAAGTTTTGTTCTTGTTTTCCAAGTGTCTGAATATGGATCTTCAGATGAATCATCTTGATTTTTCCAATTGTAGCTAGAAGTTATTTGTCTGTTTTTTTTTTTTTGTAATAGGATTCACAAGAGAATTGGGTGACTAGTTAAGTTACAACAGGAGCTAAGAGATGTGAAGTGTACATTCGTGTAAGCTAACTAGAACCTAAGATCATTAGATAATGTCTTATAGCAGGAGTCAAGGAGTTCGCATCCCCTTACAGGTTCCAAGGGCAACGTCCCTAGCAGTAGTCCCGAAACAAAAACAAAAATGAAAGAGAACGGACAATAAGGATTTTAGTCTCACGTGGTTAAAGTGAGTATCAATCTATGCTTCCCACTAAGGGGTTAACATGTGATGGTTTTCCACTAAGAGGTCATCAGCTCATAAGTGTTTTTCATCATCTGTAACTATTACTCCCGTAACCGTCCAGTATTCATTTCCAACATTCATTTCTATTTAATGAAGAGTTATTCTCGACATTAACATATATGAATGTTTACGATTTCGTAAGTTTGAAATGGAATATACTCGGATCCACAAACATCTTTAAAAGACAATATATAGTGGGCAATTAATATATAAAGTAATTAAAATTAATCAAATATTTTCTTAAATTTTTTTTAATGAGTTGTTATAAATAATATTATTAAATTACCCTTTTATCATGTTTAAGAAATATCTTTAAAGATCTCAAATGAATGGTTCATATTGAATCTCACGATTATCACAAACTAAATAATTCTCATTTGAATAGACTATATATATATATAGATAGATTATTTTTTGGAATGAGACTCTTTTTAGGCTTCCTAAGCCCAAAAAAGTAGTGTTGTGGGATAGTATTTTGACTCATTCTTTCTTCTCGATCACAAATAAGAGTAGTAAGTTTAAGATCAATTGGGTGAGTTGGTTACAAAACCCCCCTTCTTGCTATTTCATACATGTAATTTAACCTTTTAGCTTCTTGCTGGTTTTTTTATAAAATATGCGCCGTTCAAAAATATATATATGGAAGACTTCAAATGAGAACATCTTCATTTTATGAGAACACTCTTTTATTATATTCCATCACATATGATACTGTAGATTGATAGAGATGGCTTTTGTGCTGGTCAATCTGTATCCCATTCTTCAGGTACTTTCCATCGGGGCCTAACATCAAAGGTGCAGGTTGATCTCTCTGGTTGAGGTTGCAATTCATTTTGCCCAAAGGGCTATCTGATCTGATCTGATGTAGGAATTGGTTTGCTAAATCGACATACCTCTTCAAGGATACTTGCAATGATTGGTCAAGATTTTTAGGTTGTGATGTAGGAATAACCATTTCCTCTATATCCCCCAACTGTGTATAAGGGTTAGCAAGCTCTGAATCCCATTCACATCCAATAAAAAATTAGAGAGGTAGACGACTTTTGAATCATTATCGTCTGGACAATTAGACATCCAACCCGTAATCGCAGCTTCCTCCTAATTTTTTTTTGTAAAGACGGAGAAATAAAGTATATTTTATGCGACCTAGGTTGAGGGCTAAGTTGCCGTACACCAGTATTCCCCTCATGTGTATCATCATATATGATACTACTATAATAAATGACATGCAATACTAAAAATCAGAGACACAACGAGCTTTGACACGACCTAAGTCGCAGGACACGTCGTCTATACACCATCATGTCCCCTCACATGTAGGGTTGTTAAAAAACCCGACCAACCCGATCAACCCAACCCAACGTGAAATAACTCAACCCGATGTCTAATCAAGTTGTAAAATTGTCAAACCGTAGGTATTGGGTTGATATTGGGTTACTATTATTTGAACCCAACCCAACCCGATGAAACCGATATCCTTTTATTTCTTGGATTTAATATGATTGTTGAATTTCTATTAATATATACATTAGACAATTACACTATTATGTATTCTTTTCATGTACACATATTTTTAATCTATTCACATCTCTATATAACTCATTCGTATATATGTTCAGTAATTGTGAACATATATATGTAAATTGTGAAAATTAACTAAATGTGATATATGTAAGAAGTATGGATAAGTTGTATCAAATGGTTGATGATGAAAAAGAAATTATGAGTAGAGAAATATCATATTCAAGGTTAAAAAAATATTTTAATGTACCAAAGTATCAACCCGACTAACCCGTACGGGTTGGGTTGCACTTTGGTTTGGGTTGGGTTGAGTTAAGATTTTTTTTAACCGTAAGCATTGGGTTGAGTTGTTCAAATGTCTTCAACACAATCAACCCAACGCATGAGCACCCCTACTCACATGTATTATCATATGTGATACATTTCTAAAGTAATGAAAATGCATACCGTGATACACTTTATAAAACAACAAAAAATACATTGTGAACATTATCAATATCAATCAATCAAATATTTCCTTTAAAAGAGTTAATTAAACCTTTTTATGAGTTGTTATAAATAAAAACTACCAAATTACCCTTTAACCTTTTTTAAGAAATATTTTCAAATATCTCAAATAAGTGGTTCATATTGGATCTCATCGTTATCACAAACTACACAGTTCTCATTTGATTCGGCCCCTATATATATGTGTGTGTGTGTTGGCATATCAAATTTGATTTTCTAAGGGTACATAAACATAATCTTTTAAACTTAACAAAAACATATTCTTAGTAATTAATATTGTCATCTAAGTGCCTCTTGTCACTTATCATCAAACGATTTTAACTTAGGGGCTGTTTGTTTGGCTCTTAATTGGTAAGAGGTCAAGGTTGTTTGGCAAAAAAAAAAATGGCTCTTAATGGTTACATTACCCATTTTAACCATTTTGCATCTAGGGCTCCATTAAACCATTCAGATTTGTATTTTTCCAACTTTGTCTTCTCTACTACTCTCTCTACCCACTGTTCCTTCCCACTCCTCTCTTGAACCCGTCGCCTTCATCGCCTTCACCAGGATCTCTCTATTTTGACGTCTTCACCATCTCTGGATCTCTTGAACCCGTCGCCTTCGTCCCCTTCCCCAGGTCGGCCGGTTGTCGCCGGTGACCTCCTTCCAATCGATGTTCTTCCTCCTTCCAATCGATGTCCTTCCTCCTTCCAATCGATGTCGCCTGCCATTAGTTGTTGTTGTGTCGATCGTTCCTCCCATGCTCGTTCCTCCTTCCTCCTTCCAATCGATGTCTCGATGTCTCCTGCCATTAGTTGCTGCTGTGTCGCCTGCCATTAGGGTCGCCTTCCAATCAAGAATTAACTTGGATTCCTGATTTTAGCTGTAATCCAATCCCTCATTTAGCTCTCAGCTGCCCAGCAATATCAGGAGCAGAACCATGGATGGGCTCAGAAACCATTAGATGTTTACATTTTTTGGTAAATCATACATAGGGATAAAATGGTAATTTGTTGTCATTCAGTGAAAACAATTACCAAACAACCTTGTTTCATTCAGCACTTAACCATTCTGGCCCTTTTAACCATTCTGACCACTTAACCATTCTGTACTAAATCATTCAGCAACTGCCAAACAGTCCCTTAGTGAGATAAGATAACTCAACATTTTTCAAAATTAAGAATTCCAATATAATATGTATTAGTTTAACTTGTAATATATAAATATTATACATTTGATTATTAACGTCTCAATCCCTCCTCTATTGTTTATATATTGTATATAACAAGATGCCTTCTTTGATAGTTTGTATGTTACCAACAAATCAATAATAAAACACAAACCAACCGACCCCAAATATGTACTTAAGCTTGTCTTCTTCCCTCCTCTCTTTCTTTATTTAAGTTTGACTAAAACACATTTGTTTTTGGCACATCACAATTAATTTTAAACAAACGATTTCTTAAATTTGTCATTATATAAACAAATGGTTTAATGAAGAAGGTTGGAAGTAGTAGTAGTAGTAGTATTTTTTGTTAAAATGGAGTTCTTAAAGTTGCAAAAAGACATGTGAAATACCACCAAAATATCAAAAAAGTGAAAAAACGAACCCACACTCGATGCCACCATTAATTGGAATAAAACAATCAACCCACCCACCCATGTCGTTCTCACTTTTTCTTTTCTCTTTTTTTATTTAGATTAACAAATAATACTGATTAAGATGCTGACTCGATTAAAGAAAACCATACTTTTACCCGATCAGCACTTACTTGTTTAAAAAGAGGAACCATTTTGTAATCATACAAAAAATGATTTAAGATTAAAAAAAAATATATGTATATACAAGAGTGAGTGATAAATAATGAAGATGGACAGGAGGGTTGGTTTGTCAAGCCGGTAATAAATGCTGAGACCAGTCCCCCACTATGCCATTAAATGATCGGGTTGTTCAGGCACGGAACACCAATACCTACCAATTGGCGCCCCTTTCATTTAATTCTCTACTCTCTCTCCATTTAATTACATCTTTCATTCATCCTCACCGTACCTTCTGTCTTCACTCATGTGGCCTCTGTCCTACGTGTATCTCATCTTCACCGTCTGTTATACCGCTCCGGTGACAGCAGCGCCTCTGGATCGCCGCTCCTCAACCGGCTCGATGAAAACATTCCAGAGTTTACCCCGGACCCTGACTGTCTCATGAAAATTGGGCTGGCGAACGATTTTCTCCGACGTGAAGAGCTTCCGCCGCCGCCGTCCTCCGATAACGGGAGGAAGCTTCCGCCTCGTCGCCGGAAGAATGGTGATTTCATGCCTCTGTAGTATCGGAATGAGAAAACTCGTGTTTTTGTTAGAGAACTGAAAGGCGATGGTCTCTTGCTCCAAAAGCTTCCTCCTCCTCCTCCTCCTCCGCGCCGATATCTCCATGGAGATGCCGTTGCTGGTTCTATCACTAACCTCTCTGATCCTATATTACGCTCGAATCCGAACGAGTAGGATCGTTTCAGAAGGAAGTCTCTCCGATGAAACCGCTCCTCGGATGAATTCCTCGTCGGGGATCTCTCTTGCGTAATCTCGCCTGTTGAAGTAGTCGTACTGTCGACTTGTACCTCACGCTCCGGTTCCGGCGACGGCTCTATGATCGCGCTCTCAATCATCACGTCTTCGAAATTGGGACGGATTCTCGCCGACATCACAGGAACAAACGGGGATTCTGGCCGGAATACACTCGCTCGGCAAAGCGGGCAGTTAGCGTGACACCTAAGCCATATATCGATACAGTCAACGTGAAAGGCATGGAAACACACCGGTAAAGTACGAACGTAATCGTTATCTTCGAATTCCAATAGGCAAACAGCGCATTCATGAACACTGCTTTTTCTAGTGTGAATAGAAAGTGGAATCGTTTTGATGACGGCGTCGTCCAAACCGTAGGGCGAAAACAGCTGATAACCATAAGTTGGATCATACGAGTCTTCACCGGAGTAGGCAGGGGACTCGATGTCACCGTTACCAACAGAGGAAGGCACATACGAACGGAGGAGGCGTCGCCGCCTCCGCCACTGTCGCCAGCTGCGACGTAGACGAAGGAACCGACGGGAAATGGCTCGGGAGTATGTGATTGTGATAAAAGCGGTGGCGATGATGACAACCATAGCTATTAAGGGCGGGCTGAAGCGAACCGGAGGTTTTGAGGGTGAATTCGGAAACCATGAAAGGGATGGAGCTGAAGAAGGTGAAGGTGAAGGTGAAGGTGAAGGTGAAGGTGCCGGCGATAGGATGATCATGGTGGCGGTGGAAGAGGCGTAGTATGTGTGTGTTGGTGTGTGTTTTATTATGGTTGACCGACGCGGGGGAGCAAAGCAAAATGCTTAATGCGTTCCCTCGTGGTTACAATTTGGGCGAGCAGCTTATGACACGTCAAGTTTTAGGAATTTAATGCCCCACGATATAAATTTCCCTTTCATCTTTATTTGACCTCTTTTTACATTCCGTTGACCTTTAGGATGCCACCAAAGTCTGGTTCTTATTAGCGTCACTTTACTTTTTATCTATTTATTTATTTATTTTATTTTAAGATTTGGATTTTAAGTTGGATTTTAAGTTTTCAAGAGACAATAATTCTAACTCAAATTTCACGCTTACCGTTAATTCATAAAGCCTAGTGTACGACTCGATTTGAACCAAAATTTGGTAAAAGAAACTCGAAATCGTATTTGTCATATACACACACATATACATGATCATATGAGAAGTGCAAAAAAAAAAACCAGATCATGTGTGATGCAACACGTTTAAAAGGATATGAGCGAGTTGGTCAGCAGGACCAAGGTCGTGTGAGAAGTCACAAGCACGATGGTTGATCAACACAATGTATTTTATATCACATATGATTTGGTCTTTCCCTCTGTATGTATATACTTGGAAGTACAAGTAGGAATGGGTGGGGAGGGGGTAGTTTTTGCACCAAAATTCAAACCCATGAATGGTCCAAACAAAGGACATGTGAGTCATACATACATTTTAAACATGTTTCCATCGTACCTCCACTCTACAATCTACATTACTTATGGTCCATAAGAGTCACCCTAAATACATGTTTCAATCTCTAAAATTAACTCCTCAAAACTTTGTTAAATCATATAATAAATCATTTTTTACACTAATTATCAAAAACTTTTTGTTTCAATTTTACATGCCCTAAACTTGATAAAAACACTGAATGAATATGGTAAGGATCAAAAATCTTACCCGGTAAGAACGAGAGAAGAACTAAAAGTCTTATCCGGTAAGTGAGAGCGACGACTCTTACCACGGTAAACGCTTACCGGGTAAATTGTTGCATACGATGTCGTTTTGATAGACTAAAATCTTATCCGGTAAGTAAATAATATTGTTTAAATTTTACCGATAAACACTTAACGATAAATGTTTGGTAAACGACCACCAAGTTATAAAGAAAAGTTCGGTACGAATTCAAAAAAAATCTGGTAGAATCAAAATTGTCAATTTCATTGACCAATTCTTTTAAGTTCGTTTTGTTAAAATTTAATAATATTAAAATCTCTTAAATTTATGAATTATGATGCGGAAAATCTTCAACTAAGCCCACAAATTTCAAGTTCCTTGCCTTAAAAAATGTTCACAAGAAGGAAAAGGCTCTTCTTTAAATATTAAATAAATAAATAAGTACAAGATTTTAATATTTTTAGTAAATGATAATCTAAATAATTTTATCAATATTTACTTAGTTTTCTAATAGAAAATTAAAAAAATTATCATTTTCATTAACATCTACATTCCAAACCCAGAGTTATTTTGCCAACTAGCAAAAATTCAACAAAATAAAACTATGCTATGTAAACTAGTTGATAAGTATCTGGTAGTTGATAAATTAGCTGATGGTTGATAAGTTAACTGTTGAATAAATTATGTTTGACAAAAATAACTGATGAGAATGTAAAATGACCAAAAATGTATCTTGAAAAAATTAATCAATTATAATATTTTAAAATATAATTGAAACAAATTTCTAATAGTAAAATATTAACTAATATAAGCAAGATGGTAAAATGAATTAAAAAAACAAAATATATTGATTAAAAGAATTTCAAATTAATTATTATATATTATAATATTTGAATTT